CATACGATTCCGTCCCGCATATCCGTGAAAAGGCAACTAGTTAGATTCGCCTATCAGCAAATACTGAGCAGGCATCTAACTCGTATAGATTCTTCAACAAAGGCTTTAAAACGAAGATATTTCGTCAAGGTACCCATTTTAAGTTAGTGCATGTCAGTTCACCTGATTTCACCGGTTCATTTTTTATCAATGTGAAGTAATGGTGTGCCATTTTCTGACGCTTTAAAAGGGAGTGTTCGTCGCAACTAGCGGTGCATTCGATCAATTTCTGTCCATCATGCGTAGCCAAACATGTGACTCCGACCTCTCTTGTGTAAGGATTCATTGGCCCGGTGGCAATGCTTGACTGGCGAAGCGATAGGTACTACTCAGATCGCAACATCAGTGCTTTTTAAGCTGAAATAATTAGTTACACCTTGTTTATATGTTTATTGTTCATCGGGAATGGGGTTGAAACTTTGTACCAGTAAATTCTGTATTCCACTTTAAAAAAAACAAGCGATTTTACGTCACTAAGAGCATGAAAAGTTATGCTTCCAAGTTTCCACTCCATAAGAATGACTATTGGCAAGTGCACAAAGTAATATTCATGTAGGTGAGGTTATCTAAACAGCACCGTCGTGGTCGTAAAGTCTGGGTCAAAATATCCCATGCATGTGTTCCCGGTTTGTAGATCTTGATCAGTGTGGTCTGGGTAACTGCTCGCAAATTGAAGTTTGGGTTTTGCAGCAAGACTAGGGAGCAGCCTGTAGGAGTGATGAGATTATCAGTTGTAAGACGGCAGCGATCGATAACTGTGGCCTTCACTTCAACCTCTGGCCGACGCAAACAAATTGACGAAATCAGCCATTCCCGAGTACGTTCATCTTCTGGAAATGATAGACCTCGGTTTGTTTTGTCACTGCAACTGCACATCTACCGATTGACTACGTATGAAGTATGGAGGACGGATCGGCTGTTTACTCGATTTTGAAATGGAAGCTTCCTAGTAGTGTGCATGAGACGCAGTCGTGCGGCGGAATAAGTCTGGGAGCTGCAAGTACTGATTATTCCAAGCGCTGTCGCCATTTGGCTCAAATTTGTAGTTTAGACGAAGTTTTGGGTCAAGGGTTAAGGGTTAAAAAAGGTTTGGAGGCACTGATTGTTCGTGTAATAAAAATGGTATTAACCCAACAGTCATAGAAAAAATTGGGCCACACTGTCAGTTGCTTGCCAATAGAGTATCTACACAAAAATGTCCGCTAACATTAGACCAAGTAGGCTCTCCATAGTTTTTCAGTGCACAATAGAATCAAGTCTCTGAGTTATTCACTGGAAAGCCCTAGATTAGTGCCGCTCAATAAAACAGAAACACATAGGAATCCAAACATCTAAGAAACATGTTGGTAAAAGTGGAGTCCATATCAATGGGGTATAGGCTTTGCAACATACTGCAAGTCTTTCATGTTTGTCCGCGAAAACAAGACAGCAACGGATCAATTGCTCATTGGTTAGCTCGACAGTAATCAAAATCAGAGCGCGGTTGGTTTGGTCAGTCCCAATGCAGGACGGTAAATACTCTAATCATATGAGCAAACTAATCCGCATTGAATAGGGACAGACCGGACATGTACCGCCGTTGTCCAGGTGAAGTACTTAGCCAGTTGGCTCTTTTTCAAATAAGTACTCGTCAGTTTCCGAATTGTGATCACGCCCTGACTATCCCAGGTCTGCTTAGGACCAGATGGGTTGCGGGAAGCATTCCGGGACTTGGCAACGTAGTGCAACCAACAGAGGGTAGATATGCGCCTTGATTAGTTCATCACGAGTTCTTCGGACCTGCGGCTCAAACCATCCGATACATAAAAACAACAAATGCGCCCACTAAACTGAGACCCTAACTCATTGTTCATCAATTCAAGTTGCTCACTTCGATGCAATTTTCGCTACCTGAGCTCGTTCCTTGTTTAAAACCGATCGGGTTTTGCTCGACGGGTCCTGTGTCCCACAGAACTATTTCTACCTTTGTACTTGAAAACGGTAGGACGATTGGAACAATCTGGCTGACTGTAGTTTGCGAGTCGTCTGATTTAGACAGCTAGCTGCTTTTACTGACCTTACTTTACACAGGCCTAACCGGAAAGTCGGAAGTGTTGAATGATGTTGATCGGTGCTGCACTCGTAAAGTCCCAATCAAGTTGTTCCAGTTCAGCTTTGCTACTGATTTTTCATTACCAAAACCGCCATCTGCGAGCTAAGCTAGTGCACTTGTACACGGAGCCTCGGAAGTTCCTTCGTTGCAGTTATCGCACATGACCCGATGCCGTTATTTGTAATTGCATCAGGTTCACTGCTGACCAGTCTTCAGTAGTGGTTATTTGGTGAACAAGGGTCATGTGAATAGAGGAGCTCCGCGAAACGAAGCAGGTTGCAGCCACGTTTGTCCACCCGAATGGCATGATATTGAGGCTTATTATGATTGTCAGTTTTCTCAAGATCAGTATGTATCACTGGGTGAAATTCATTGTCAAGTAGCATTGTGTTTGCGTGACGCGCCAAAGCCAAGTCAGACTAGGGATGTCCTCTTCATTGTATTACTTTCTCCGTTTAACCAAACGCTATGTTAGTCGGGTTAGTCGAATAGCAAGGCTTGTTCTGATCTACGCATAGAGCATTGGTCGTGTCTGGAAAAGTGGGTGGCATAAGCAATCCATAGGATCGGCTGATTTCCCATTGGAAGTAATCCCATGTGGAGTGCTCTCCGTAAAGTAAATCTAATAAGACGGTGAACAGAAACCCTGTTTCCTATGTGAATATTGCTGTCCAAAGCGGAATCACTCTTCGTCTGTTGGATAAATGTGTGAAGCTGAGTCGGGTATTTGTGGAATTAGCAATCCGAATGGAATGGACAATACCACAAAGTAACGAGGTTTGTAGTGGCACAAGGTCACTCATTCCTGCTTAGTCATTAGTCCGCTCCAGCTGAGAGCCACAGGGCAATCCTTTGTTATCCCTTGAGACATGGTTTGGATATGGATCATTCTGCTATGCACGTTTGTACCTGAAGAAAAGGGATGTTGCAAGATATGAGGCTGCAACTGCATAAACATGAGAAAACAGCCGACTGCTGATGGCCTTATCAACAGAATGGTGATTACAATAAATCCAATACTACAATCCACAGATTACATTAATTACCAGGTTCTCGTAGCTGTTGACAATCATCTGAAAGTCATGGATCCTTGCAAAGGATAGCTACCGAATTATATCCTTGGGGTTTTATTGGATCTTCAAGGTAGAGACGTGGCTAGATCCTGGAAAGCGTGGTCCAGAGGCAACAACTTGAGTGTTACTCAAAAGGGTTCTTTTAGACTCATCCGACGATACTTCGTAAAGATAAAAGTGTTGGTGTGGGTGAATGTTTCTGGAAGCGATATAAATTTCAACTAGCAAACGTGAAATTTGATTGAGGACAAGCTAAAGGTAAAAAAAGTGGGAGTGGAATACACAAGTACACCCTGCGACCAGTGACTAATCAGTTACTTCGATGCCCCCGATCATCGTTGTGCATCTCAAATAACGTGTGAGGCGTCATTGTTCGAGCTAGTTTTCAGATCAACAGATGGTTCATCGTAGGGTGACACAAGTGAAGTATTTGTGCATCACACTGAGTCAAAGAATATCATGAAAAATTCAGTTCGGGCCCCGTTAAAACCAAACTGGTGTGCAAATGAGCGTGGTTCGCGGATTTCGTACAATTCGGGGTTCAGGTAAAACGTAAGTCTGAAGGAAACCCGGGGGTCTGTCCATTCGATGAGCCCCAAGAGAGAGGAAACAAGTCGAAGGCTGTCGAAGAGTTTCCAGTAACCTCATGAATAGTGCACTGAAACATGTGACGGCCTTTGTGCAGAACATCCAGCTGGGTGTCATCATAAACGAGCTTCACCTGGATTAAGTTGAGTCTCCTGCCAAAACCAAATTCATATGCAAATGAGAGTATTTGGCGAAAACAATCCTTTCGTTTGCGATTCTCGGCCTGATTCATACGGTTGACCTCAGTATGTGGCCAGATTGCTTCAGCTGAATAGTCGGTACCAAATACCGAGCAGTCGAATCTACTCGGGTGTTGATGACAGATGAGATACAAACTAAACAATACCCGTTACTTCCATTCTCTATTGTAAATGGCTTTTCGTGCCGTACAATACGGATCAGACCAGCGTGCGCATCACATCTGGTGGTCACTGTAAGATTTCCTTGGAGTAGTCTGAAGAAATCGTAGCCATTTACGTACCATAGACACTGTCAGCGACAGAACTAGTATCATGTAGTCCGCCAGGCTATTCACAAGGGCTTCAACATACTTGTTATTTGGGACGTTGAGCGTTGTTTGGCCAAACTCAAGGCGATCTGTAGGATCTTTTCTTATAAAGACCCACAGGCAGACATACCAGCTAAATTGCATTATTAACTAACTCGAGCGCCCCGTATTCCGATAGTCTCTGAGTACATAGCAGCTTAACGAATGATGTTAAATCTTCTTACAGTCCATTTTTCAGCACGAGCTTAAGAATACTCTATTCCTTTCGCCTTGTCTAAAGGAACAAAAAAGTATGTATAGGCGTAACATACTACTGGTAAGGTTGCTGTCGCCCAGCAATAGTCACTCACAGACAAGATCCAAAATAGTATCGCAACTGAGCGATTCACAGGCTCAGTGGTTCTGCAAACTACCAGCCTTGACGAAACAAGTGAACGGATTGAAGTTGGACATTGGAACGACTTACTACACGACACCAAGCGAAGCGAGGTTAACCGTGCAAAAGACAAGTGCCTCTCACCCGGAATCATTATCTAAATGATGGCTTTAGCCGATGACTTTCTGACTGCCTCTCAGCTTGCACCCCAGGTTAGCCACCACACTGGATGACGATCAGAGCAGAATTACGCGTTCGCAACCTGAATTCCGCGGTATCAAGAGGTCCACCCGAACACCGAAATAATAGGAAGACGTAAAAATGGTGCTAGAGAAAATTTTCCGATATTCAACCAACAAAGAATTAAAAAGCAAGAAAAAAGAAAAAACAACAGTAACAAGAGAAAGCAAGCGAAATTAAGTGAACCATGGCCTAAATCGTAAAGGCAAACTGCACGAAAAAGGAAGAATCGCAAATATAAAAAAGAAACAATCTTCTAAGAGAAAACGATACAGGATTGTGGGTGGGGGAGGGGTGAAATGGTGCGAACGACTCGCCAGACCAAAACCATCTGGAAGTGCAAAGTGCTAGGATCCAGTGACTGGTGAGAACTGATGAATGTACGAAGCACGTAATTGATGGAAAAGTGAGTCGATGGGCTAGATAAAAAAAGAGGGTTGCATGCGAATAGATTTGAATGAGCAATCATTCTGGCTGGACGCAAAAATGGAAGCGACTAGACAGAGGTGAGTGATTTTGACGAGTAGGGAACATACAATCCTAAGCACTGAAAATGCGAACGATTATGGACACGTTCCCTGTTATCAACCAGTAGGTGAAAAGTGAATGCTTGGAGTGAGAAAGTGCCTGGGGGGGCTTGTCGAATCTGTCGTGAGCTGGTAAAACAATGTAGTGGGAAGGGAGAGGGACAATTCAGAACTTCAAAATCAATCTACGTCATTAATGCTTTCCAAACGTGACCTGGACGGTGGAGTGTGTGGAGCGGATCCATTTGGCGTGAGCGCTGCAGCAGCACACGGATGTGTTAGATCAAGGGAGTCGAAGTGACTGAGCAGGGAATCGGCGGGTGTTGTGTTACAACCCAATAGACCGGGATGCAGCACTGAGTTCGAAACAGGTTCGACTGCAATGTTATTCCCATTGGATGGTGAGGCGGGAGGGTCGGGTGTCCAGTACTGTTCACTTGTATTGGGAGTGTCCGCTAACATGGAAAAAAAAACAAGAAGAGTAAGCTGGTTCGATAGTTTGGTCAACAATTTTCCTAAAGATGTTACCAACCACCAAGAGACTCACCGCGGTCACGTTGTTTTGAGCCTGTCGCAGGTGGTGATGTCACATTAATGGACATGAGACCATTGGCTGAACCCTTTGGTTCAGGGAGGTCGATCTGGGGGTTTAGACAGGCGTCTCCGTCGGCCGGGGTCCGTCCAGGAAACTCCGAATGGAGCTGATTGCTGGAAAATACTTCATCGTAGTTGTCTCTCAATGGTTTTGGTGTTGAAGAATACTCTTGATCAGGATGACTTTGAGTTGCTTCAGGGGGCAAACTTGGTTTGCTTTGATCCGACGTTTCTTTGTTTGTGGTTAAAGCATCTGGAAGTTGACAAACGGGTAAACGAAAACCAGGTGTGAAATAAAGGAGTTGTACCTTTTGTGTGCGATTTTTTTCAAATGAAAGGATTATTTTGGGAGCTCATAAATTCAAAAGTACAAACATAGTGGAATAAAATAGATTGGGTGGATGCAGCGAGACCAGATGAGTTTCAAAAACTGAGACAGCCTGACGAAGAATGAGTTCCCGTACTGCTAGAAACCGCATTACGAGGCGGTTTGGAGATAAAGTCTAACTACCGCCTATGGTAGGAGTGTGATGACAGTGAGTTGCTTCGTTTGGGGATTGTGCTGTTCCCAATTCAAAGCAGTCCCTACGGCAGTTCCTCGAACGAGCAGCATACTACAACCGATTGGTCAGGGATTTGAACACGATTGCTGCTCCACTGTACGACTTGCTTGGGCGAAATAGGGAATTCGAATCGAAAAGAAAAGCACATAGGGCTTTCGAACGTGTCAAAGAGCGGATGCTGGATCAGCAAACTGCCCATGGTCGGAGAGATATTTACTGTTGCAACGGACGTTAGCGAAAGCGGAGGAATGGAGTCATAGTGTCAGTCGTAACCTGACTAATACTGAGCAGAAGTGCTCAACTACTGAGAAAGAATGTTTGGCGATCTTATGGATCCTAGATAAGTGGAGGTCATAACTGCTTGGACAAAAATCTCATGTTGAGACCGATCACAAACCTCTGAAGTGGATCAGGACCATCAGAGATCCTCGCGGAAAGCTCGCACGCTGGGCACTCCGGTTGCAAGGGACTTCGCGCCGAAGGGCTTTCCTCCTCGAGACCGGAATCTCCATACTTATAAAAGTAGTGATACCAGATTTCATTATCATGTCCTTACATTGTGACAAGTACTGGGACTGTACCACTCCTAACGACGACGAACAACAAGGATAATCTTTCTCGGTCCCAGATTTGTTTTGACTCCATTGAGCGTTAGAAACTGGAGTTGTCTGGTTGTGAAGGGTGCACCTTCTAAATTCTGTTTTCTTACGAAAGACTTGTACGCGTCCTCTCTTAACCGAACACGTGTCTCCGGCAAATTTTCTCCTGAGTTTACATCTAATGATGTCAGACAGGGATGTTGTCTGTCACCTTCTTTTTGACTTTGTAATCGATGTGCTGCTCAAGTTTTCCTTACCTGCTTCTGAACTCTCATGGATCGGAATGCTCCCGGGCGTTCACTCACGGACATTGAGTACGTTGATGATATTATTTCCTTTGGGTAAGGCCCTTTAGATATACAAAGTGTTTTAAACAATCTAAATGATTCTGTTGCACAGCTCGGGGCGTCTTTTGAACCTGTGAAGTGCTGCGGCAAAAATGGGTGGGATCAAATCCAAACTTCATGTTTTCAAATAAAATCGTTCGCCTGGACACCTGCAGAAGTCCCAGCGGACTGGTGAAAAAGGAAATCACCTTTCGAAAAAGTTTGGTGACAATCGGTAGATTAATTTATTGCTGGAAATCACTTCCCTAATTGAATAGGCCAGGGCAATGTTTACAAAACCCAACACTTGTGTCGACAAGATGACATCATTTTGACCGAGTATTCATAACAAGTCAAAGATGACTATGGGCTGAGGCAAGTGTGCTGACACCCCAAATTTCTAACGAAAGTCAGCAGAACATATTTCGCACTTCGAGATTAGTGATGGGCATCGTTTAGTTGACGTCGCTACTACGAAAATGGGATTGAAGGGAGAAAACATCAGCACAACAAGCAGTACGCTCACAAAGCAGTAGATCAGACACCATTTAAAATTGTTAAGCCCCATACAGTAAGTTTTCATTATACTCTGAAGATTTGCGATTTCAGCCTCTACGGGAACGTGACAGTCTCTCGTGGGTAGGTAAACGACTTGGTTTCTATTGATAGTTTCACACCCTGAAGGAATCGCGCTCATCCGGTCTTGGAGTATCAAAAAGCAATATACTTCGTGTCCAGGGGAGATGTGCCTTTTGTATCAGATTCGCCTTAAGCTGTTCACGTTCCCTCAGCAAGGGTTTTCCAACGATGATTAATGCCAGTACGCTTCTCCTCTATGAAAACCCCCACAAGTTCCGGTGTCAACATCATTCAGCTGCGATGTCCTTTGGGCACACAGCTGTCAAGCAGTCTTTTATGGCCTGTTTGGAATTCTTTAATCGTTTTCTTAACACTGTTATCATGCAGTCCTACCATACATGCAAACGTGTGGTCTGTGTGGCTAATAGATTCCACTGCCATATTTGAAAATTGAAGTTAGTCTGTGTGTCATATTTAGAAGTTGAAGTTGGGAAAACTGCAATAGTTTAGGCGCGATTACGCGGCAACTGTATCAGCAAACGATATTCTCTAGTCCTGAGCTTAGAGTATCCGTGTATCTTATGTCATAGCACATGACGCAAAGCAGTGGTGTTGATATGGAAATTTAGCACAGCACTTCGTGCCGAAATGTTCAGAATACCCTGTGACCTCAACTACTGCTCACCGAGTGAGATACAGCGTGCAGTGTGTGGGCCTGAAGTGCTTAAAAACAGCGTAGACGGCACGAACCGGACCGATACGTGTGCCGCATTTGAAAATGATTTATTATTGTGTTCTCCGTCATTGTCAAACAAGAGCCTCAGAGAATATTTGAGACTGGTTAACTTCGGAGGAATTTTGCGTATCACACACAGAGAGGTAACGAATCAATGGTCCAGGACCGTAACACAGTTGGTGCAGTGAGTTGACAGGTCGGAATGTGTGGGTGTCAGTATTTGCGGACAAAAAAGAAGTGAAGCATGCGTCTGGTGTAGTGAATCGACCCATCAGCATTGATGGTTCATATTGATGGAAGCTTCGAAGAAGGAACTTTAGCAGTCAAAACAGGAAACTATCCCGTTTCACAGGATGTTGTGTTCGGGTGTCACACCACAGGGGATTAGAATCACTGGTCTGTCAAGCGGTACTGAGAAGCTCACAGGTATTTTCATCGGAGCAATGAGTGGAAGAAACCGATTGGGTGGACATGGGTCATGAACAAGACCGTGTGTGATCGTGAGCATACGAGAACACATTTAGTTACGGCTGGATTGCAAATAGCTTATCGTGGTGATATTAAGGAATGTTGAAAGTAGCAAGCCAGAAAATGAGTGCCCACGTTATGCTAAATAGATTCCTCAGAAGGTAAACAGTCTCTCGTGGGTAGGTAAACGACTTGGTTTCTATTGATAGTTTCACACCCTGAAGGAATCGCGCTCATCCGGTCTTGGAGTATCAAAAAGCAATATACTTCGTGTCCAGGGGAGATGTGCCTTTTGTATCAGATTCGCCTTAAGCTGTTCACGTTCCCTCAGCAAGGGTTTTCCAACGATGATTAATGCCAGTACGCTTCTCCTCTATGAAAACCCCCACAAGTTCCGGTGTCAACATCATTCAGCTGCGATGTCCTTTGGGCACACAGCTGTCAAGCAGTCTTTTATGGCCTGTTTGGAATTCTTTAATCGTTTTCTTAACACTGTTATCATGCAGTCCTACCATACATGCAAACGTGTGGTCTGTGTGGCTAATAGATTCCACTGCCATATTTGAAAATTGAAGTTAGTCTGTGTGTCATATTTAGAAGTTGAAGTTGGGAAAACTGCAATAGTTTAGGCGCGATTACGCGGCAACTGTATCAGCAAACGATATTCTCTAGTCCTGAGCTTAGAGTATCCGTGTATCTTATGTCATAGCACATGACGCAAAGCAGTGGTGTTGATATGGAAATTTAGCACAGCACTTCGTGCCGAAATGTTCAGAATACCCTGTGACCTCAACTACTGCTCACCGAGTGAGATACAGCGTGCAGTGTGTGGGCCTGAAGTGCTTAAAAACAGCGTAGACGGCACGAACCGGACCGATACGTGTGCCGCATTTGAAAATGATTTATTATTGTGTTCTCCGTCATTGTCAAACAAGAGCCTCAGAGAATATTTGAGACTGGTTAACTTCGGAGGAATTTTGCGTATCACACACAGAGAGGTAACGAATCAATGGTCCAGGACCGTAACACAGTTGGTGCAGTGAGTTGACAGGTCGGAATGTGTGGGTGTCAGTATTTGCGGACAAAAAAGAAGTGAAGCATGCGTCTGGTGTAGTGAATCGACCCATCAGCATTGATGGTTCATATTGATGGAAGCTTCGAAGAAGGAACTTTAGCAGTCAAAACAGGAAACTATCCCGTTTCACAGGATGTTGTGTTCGGGTGTCACACCACAGGGGATTAGAATCACTGGTCTGTCAAGCGGTACTGAGAAGCTCACAGGTATTTTCATCGGAGCAATGAGTGGAAGAAACCGATTGGGTGGACATGGGTCATGAACAAGACCGTGTGTGATCGTGAGCATACGAGAACACATTTAGTTACGGCTGGATTGCAAATAGCTTATCGTGGTGATATTAAGGAATGTTGAAAGTAGCAAGCCAGAAAATGAGTGCCCACGTTATGCTAAATAGATTCCTCAGAAGGTAAGTATCAGGAAGGTCAGCATCCTGAAAGCAACCACTGAATGCCCGAAATCTACCGAGACTCTCAGCTCCGCTAGATGTTGACCAGACAGACAACGCCCCCTCAATATGCAGCGCGTCACAGCCTAGCATCAAACCCAGACAGCTCGAGTCAGCGTTGATCAAGGTCAGACAACGCCTCCGCAATATGCAGCACGTCGCTGCCTCGTACCAAAGCCAGACCGCGTGAGTCAGCATTGGACCAAGTTCAGACAGTGTCCTTCCAATAAAAAGCTTGAGGCCGTTGTACTTTTCACACTCGCACGCACTCGCGCTGTCGCAACCACTTTGTTGGAGTATAGCTATTGTGTTCCCTTCCGTGAGCCCTTTTCTTTCCGACACTAGGCACTGGAGCGGGTCAGCAGCAAATACCACAGGCCGACGAATCAGCAGATATAACAGTGAGTCCACTTGGGAAACTGCATTAGCACGACACGACTCGCACCTTTCTTCCAGCATTTAAATATGCGCAAAAAAACGAGCTGCATGGTCTTACCAGGTCTGTGGTCGAAATGTGGTCCGTAGAATGATAATTCTATAGAGCGGACGCTGGTGGAAAAGAGTGTCCGCTCCTCAAGGGAATTTCTGTATGCGTACCACATGGTCATAGGTATAGGCGTTCAGCTGCAGCACCCTTCGGGTGGCTAGCTGCCATGCCACCAGAAGGAAGCACGAGGGCTGGAATGCTGCCAGGTTGCCCAAGCCTAGACAGGAGAAGTCGAGAGGCAGAGGTCGGGTTCGAATCACGGACCTTCCGGTTAGGAAATTGGCGCTCTAACCACTTGAGCCATCTCGCCCCTGGTCATAGGTATTGACCATTAGGACAACCTAAACCTCGTTACTGAATAACCAGGTAACGAGTCAAACAAGCATACAATGACAAGGAGGTTGGTGAGGACAGGTGAGGATGCTAACGCATGGAGATGTGATTGTCAGGTTTTCGAAGTAGTCTACATCAATGAAACCAGAAACAAACGACGGAGTTCAGTGTGACAGAACACGAGAAAACCAAAGTCTCTCAGAGATGGCAATGTGAAAATATTTGGGAATTTTCAATAAAGGTTTCGTCCTGTAAGTGAGGCCAAACCATACCGAAACGCCAAAAAACAGACAACTGTTTCGTCCTTATTGAGACCCATCAAAAGTGCGATACCGCAACTGGGATACCAGTTCTATGACACTCTAGTAGATAGTTTTGCCTTTGCAGACGACTGTGTCGTGTGTGCAGAAAGTCAGGCTCGCATTAAAGAGAAGCTTGAAGTTACCGCAGTCGACTTGGGGAGAGCTGCTTAGAAGATAAACGCCCGAAAGACGGAAGCGAGGGTTATTTGTGGGGATAGGGAACATCGGGCGACAGCAGTCATAATAGAACCATTTTGCTTTGCTGAGGAACTCGTCACTCCTGGGACTTCCTAAGGTCATAGTCAATGACTTGTGTTTGCTTGCGTAATGACGACACTTTTATGCGTGGCACATAGCGGTGAGTGAACATTCTTGCCATTGAATCTCACACCAGACCCAGTATGACGGACACTGATGCGCGAGTCTTGACTGTGCTGGCACCTTGAAGAGCAATCAGCATTGTTTGTCCTTTCCTCGGTTGTTGGTCTTTTTACGCGTGTTTCCATAGCAAATATTCTTACAAACGTTGGGATTCATCTTGTCTGACTGGAACTGTTGGTGACATGACTTCGAATGAGACGCCTTTCTCTTCTTATCTAATATTATCCTGTAACCCCTACAGATTCATTGCCTGCATTTACTTTTCATGTCTGTGACCATGCTCTTCAAAAATAAGTGATAGTATAAGATAAGAGGTAGACATCTTACCCTTATCTGAACAGAACAAAGACGCAATGTGTGGCTCTTAGCGCTAACTGGGAGGTTACACCATTACAATAATAATGAAATCAGTCATTTGTTTATGAGCAAGGTCGTCATTCGTACTGAAATCTCCTTTCTATCGACCGAATAATGCGGCACAGAGCTAAGCAAAGACAAACCTTGAGATGCATCAGAAGTGACCGTTTCTGATCGAGTCGTGTTCGGGTTTTCTTTTTCGCATGTCACCTGGAATCTAGACACTTCAGTGATGCCGCTGACAGCTGATGCTGAGGAATCAGGTACTGCCGTGTGCTCTGTTGCTCCCGAAACAGCAGATGGCTTTCGTTCCTCAGGAGTCGGTGAACCACCTGCTGACAAGACCTTACCAAGAACCATGGCGACCTTTCCGGAGCTAGGAACACCGTTCACAGCGACGGGCGTGTCAATCGCCCCCCTACTTGTAGAGTTGTTGTTGTTGTTGTTAACTATAGGCGCAGATTGCACGACTGGGGCAGGCCGGGCTTGCACAAAAACACCTAAAACAAGAAAGGGAAAGCAGGCAAGTTAGTTCAGAATGTATGGAACAGACTGTTTCCGAGAAACATGACGTTTCCCCTGAAAAAAGATCGAGCTGCAAGTGGCCACCGCCATTTTGGCAGCAGAGCTTGAAAAAGAAAAGGCACGATAAGGCTAGTGCAGATCAAGGCATGAGAGTCCCATTATCCATCATTGCTGGCGAATCCCTGTGGGTATAGGGACGTGCAAAAAATAAACGTACAAGATAGAAACACTTAAGTGTTCAAAAAACATGGAAGGACTTAGTGGGGAGGAGTTATGCAGATTGGAAGTGTAGATGTTCAGCTTGAGAGGAGACATTGATGTCAGAAGCGCAGTTCTACATACTAGTCACCAAGGTCAATATGACCCGTTTAGAGATACCGACCCTCTTACACCTACTAGGATGTAAGATGTGGACCATGCAGGTGGCAAATGAGGCTCCATTTGACTCGTGGTGCTTTTGAGGCAGTCGACAGACGTTCACTGGGACTGTTTTACTATGGATGGCGCCTAAACCACTGAGTTACCTCGAGCACGTTCAAACATGCTGGGAAAACGAAAAATGACATTTCAGCCCTTGCTGTACATCGTCCTGGAAAGGTGTCCTGAACTGAGCTTGTAGTCAACTACCTAATGGGAGATGCATCTAGGACAAATGTATCGGTGTTTTGGACGACAACTCAAAATGATTTACCGATGGAACGTCACTGATAGAAGCCGAAATACCAAACATTGCTCAAATCGTTTTTTCGAAAACAGGAAAGTCAAGTGGCGACTTCCTTGGAGGTTATACACAGACATAAACAACAATAAGCTTCCAAGCCACCAATACAAAACAGTTATTTGGAAAAATATTGGGATTGCTCAGGAAATGACCATTCCAAACATTACCGAAAAAAGCAATTCCGCTTCGTTTTACCTCGATGACTTGATTCACTTCCCGGTGCTCAAGACTGCACAAAGATAGGAAGTATCCTTCGTTTGTTAGGAAACATTTAGTAGCGTCCCGAAAAGCTCATGCACACGAGATATTTGGTCCTTGTTGGCAGGTGGGTGTGGATAAGGCTGGTCGTGTGGTCAATAACATCGGACCGCACGCCCGCGTGGATGAGGAATCTGAGTGTTGGACTAGCCAGCCGCTGACTTGAGCAGCTAACCTGACCACTGGTGAATTGCCAAACCAATTGTCACATTATTTAAAAAAAAACGAACTGCACTCTTGCATTCAGAATCTACCAAAAACGCTGTATTCCGTGCGGAAACCGTGATGTCCAAACACACATTTTCACTTTGAACGGCACAAACTTCCTAGTTCTCCTGTTAATGAATTATCTGATAAACTGGCAACGTACCGGGCCCACGATTTGGTGGTGTTGTTGGTGAGGATGTCTTCCGGACAACTGCTTGACCTCTAAACCACGCCGAAGCATCTGAACCGAAAGAAAAAGTGGTGAATTTTCAAGAACAGTAAGCAAAGGATCCAGCAGAGCAGATAAGATAATAGAGAGGGGCAAGAAACGTTGCATGTATCAAAAAACATCTTCGCATCAGCCGATACGGATTCCAGTTGCCCACCCAAGTTACACCAGTAGTTTTCAATCTCCTTGGCCCTCTCCAGCAGGACTAGGTTCAACCCCTTTCCTCACTGGAAAAGTTCAGTTCGACGAGGAAATAAATTGATACTTATTCACGCTTTTGTTGCGAATTGGGTCAAATAAGTGTGGTGTGCTTAAAACGCTGTGAAACTGACTCGTAAAGAATGGTACAGAAATTTGAGGCAGCAAGCGCGTGACCTTTGCTTCTTCTCAAGGCCGTCAGACCCCGTCACAGAGGTGAGCACCTTCTGTCAATCACTGAGTGGTACCGTAATTCGTCACGATCTACGAAAAACTTCCGGTTATGGCGTCTTTCCTTGTCGCCCAAACCAACTTCTATCCTTCAGTATTTTTCATCGACTGAGAAAGAGTAATAGCCACGAGTCACAAGGCCCCAGGCTCGCTTTTTAGCAAGCAACCGTGTCACTTCAGGTATTTGACAGCCATCATCAACATAGCATAACATCACTGTTTAAGATCGATGCTTCCCTGTCGTACAAACATAACTTATTTGAAAACTTTGTTGTGGAAAAAATTGGATGAAAAACAGACTGTTGGCCCATCACGATCAAGCCAAGGTGGCCGTTCCAGACAACTGGGATGAATCCATAATAGCACCCAATTTCTAAAACGGTGCTCACAAAGAATGTGGTAATAGCAGGTGTTGGTTTGACTCCCGTTATAACAAGGTTACTGGCATCACTGATTCTTCGTCATCTTACGGCGGCACGCGAATCCTTGACCCTAAGCATCAAGCAAGACTACGTGGCCGCTTCAAGTCCGAATGGGATCGGTGAAATACCAAAACTATAATTGAACAATGGCCTTTCAGTAAGCAGCTCATACTTTGGTCCATGCGCCGTTCCAATCACAGTTCATGGATCATCCTACTTCCGGTTTGGCGAATGTACTCCCAGGAAAACAGTACACCCATCCTCTAATTGAAAAGTGAATGATCAAAACACGTCCGTTTGAATTTGCCAAAACGAGACTCCAGTGAAGTCTTCATGCCACGGTGCAGAACAAGCAGACAAGAAGTTGCTATCCAGAGCGAAACTTGAAAGAGGCTAGGCCACGTATGTGAAGTATATGTTGTAAGGCTGTGTTGGATTGTCAAGATAAAACTCAACGAGAGAAGGAACAAAGTTACCCCATTTAGCCTTAAAAAAGCTGGCACATGGGGTGGTCGAAAGTTCTATTTCCGACGTACCTGAACTTGGATGTCGGTAAGCTAGTCCCATAGGACCACCTCGCCGCCGATGATTCCAGCTCACTGATGCATTGTCGACAAACGCTGGTCCATCATAGTAATGTGATGGTTGTCGACGGGGAAGGGAATGGCTACCCCCTGCATGATCTGCTGAACTGCCAGATGACTGAGAGGAAATAGTACCACGATCCACGGACGTAGTGGATTGTTGTATTGTCGGAGTAGATGCTGGTGATGGAGGAGTAGCTGCATCCTCCCGACACGGTGTAGCAGTTGGGGTCGGCGTCCTGGGGAGTGGTGAGCGTGAATTCTCAGAGGTTGCAAAGTTACGTTGCGATTTAAATTGCAACCATTCTGCCGGAAGGGGATGTTAATAAAAATTAGGTGGTGACTGGAAAGCTTGGGCGGATTCACATGTACAGAGAAAAAGTTAGTCTCTCTGCGCCCTCAACCAATTCGAATCAAAGCAGGGGAGGAATTGACTTGCAGAGCAGATTGTTACGCTGCAAAGGACGTTCACATATGGTAACAAAGTTTAATTCCTGCCCACTTTGGGGTATATTTTAAGTCCTGTCTCGTGATAGGAAATGAAATGTTCTGCGATCTCGTCCCGCATGGACTTTCGTATGGACCGCTAACAAATCATGTATTCTACGTGGTCATCATCAGAAACCAGTAGCAAAATATCCCATAGATATCGTATTCTGTCCTTTTTTACTGAATGCGTATTTTTTTATAAGGGGCGGGTCTGTTTGAACATAGAACAAACCAAGAAATGCGTACAGGATCAATGAAAACCAGACTGGACGGGTTAAAAAACACTGAGGGAATGGTGCAATGAGGGTTTAGTCTTATAAGCTATAGGAGGTCCATCGTGCGAATTCTTTTCCCTAGAGCACACCGGATTGGCTCTGCCGACACCGTTGACACCGAGGCCGAACGCAAACGGGAAAATTCGAAGCAGAATAGGTATTCCGACGCGTTTACGAGAGTATACTCCAAACCCACCAAAATGCCTCTGCACCCAAGAAAAAGTACACATCCAACTATATTTCAGATGTGGCCAACTGGACAGGTAACCACCTCTGAAACGCAGTAGAGGGTGTAGCTCTCAATACAGTTTAGTTCAGTTTTTAGGCCCAAAACCCGTGCAACAAAATTCAGTGATTCTGGCTTCTAAAGCTTCGTTCACCGACGATGATGAGGAAAACGGAGGCGATGACCCAGGTAGTTCATTGACACCGAATGGTTCTGTTGGTCTGGTCTGGTAATGATTGGAAGCTACGCACTGAAGGCGATAGCTTCGATGCAAGACCGCCGTTGGCTACGTGACACAGTCCTATCTGTAGGGACACTAACCATTGGTTTGTCCCGTCCAGCGGTCCCCATCCAAGAAGGCAGCTACCAATGTGCATCTCCAACTGCTGACTTCATGCAACTTTCCCAACTGACGAGAATACCGATACCATAAGCGAAAGATAGCTTGATCAAACTGCCCACCTCACAATGCGTACACTTATATGTTCCTGTGGGTACACATACATGTATAAAAACAGAGACATTTATCTGTTCGGATACCTGAACACCTGCCCGTGTGGTTATTCTGATCAATCGATAAAGTAACGAGGTACTTTATCAGCGAAAACCTTTTGGATGTAGCCTGTTAGACTCATTCAGGATTGTTTGTCGTCACAATGGGGACTCACCTACATGTTGGGCTAAATATGTTGGAGCAAATTTGACAACTCCTCATGTCGGAATCACATTTTTACGCTTATAAATCGATCAAAATAAAAAGGGATTATTCCTTCCCAAAAGCTTTATTTATCTTATATATATA